CAAGGCTAACTGCCCAATCAGGTGATGATGGGAACTTGACTTAAAAAAGGGCTACTGGCTCATACAACACACATACACATAGAACAAAGAACAACGCTTAGGAATTTTAAGCTGAATATATCGATTTTAAAGGAATTTCAGGCACACAGCTACATTTACAATAGAAATAAATGCAGCTTAAGTGAAAAGTTATACAACCTACCAAGTTATAAATCTACCAAAAGATCTGCATGTAATTCTGTTCCACTGGTCTAGTACTTCACACACATTTACCACACGGAACAACCATTAAGGTGACACCACTCCTTCCTGTTTTAGGTTTTCTTCTTCCCGTGTCACCTACTGGTTCAGTGAATAAAGAATGAGCTTTATCCAATGGAACCTGTTCCATTACTTTTATGTTCCTTGTATGATATTTAAAGGCACAAAACTCTCATGAACAGCAAGTGTCTTTTAACAAAGATAGAGGCTTCTTCTATTTATACCACACTGGGGTTAAAGTGTATTTATATCTAAAATGTATATTAGTGAGGGGTTAGAGCCCCTGTCTGTGTCCTATCTGGGTAGATTCACCTTTCTGTATGTGCTGGTGACCATTGCCACCTAGACAGAAAGTGATGGGAAATCCAAAATGACAGTTGTCACCAGAGCAAGAGGCGATTTAAGGAAAAAAAATACCCTTGCAATGAAAACTACCCCCCACAACATTGCAAAATTCCAAGATTTAAAAAAAAAGAGTTAGGAGGCTGTTAAAAGCTGAACTCTGGAATAAAAAAAAAATACCCTTGCAGTGAGAGCTCCCGCCACACACACTGCAAGTGTTAGATTCCCATGAAGACTAGGTGTAGCAGAATAAACCATAATACTTATATTACTTACCGGTATGCCTCCAACAGCCAGCCGTCTTCTCTATGGCACTCCGGGTTGTAGACGGGCCCACACCGTCCTCATATACAATGCAGGATTGCTGTTTCAGCATTGTATGCGATGACATCAGCGCGTGACCACTGGACAGAGAAGCTGCTTCAAGGGGTCATTTGCACAGCATGGAGAAAGCCTGCCGAAGTGAGCAACAAGGTAAGTATTACAAATTACTTCTCTATCCCTAGGCAAAAACAAGCATTTAACCCCTGAAGAGAGTGTGTGGGGGGCGGGGGATATTACAAGGGTAATTGTTTCTGCTGTGTAGAGAGGGGCTTTAAATAGCAAACCGGGCTTAAAAAAAAAAAGGGTGCTGCTTTAAACATATTGACATTGCTGAAGAATGGATCTAAGGTATCTCGAAAGCTTGTATCTTTAATGACGCAAGTTAGCCAATAAAGAGTATCACTTAAACTCCAAAATTTCTGCACTAATGTAACCTAGTATATTAATCCGCTACTGTGAACATTGCAGTCTGCGGCCTGTCCCTCGCATGACTCTATTGCTCCTTCCATGCTCCCGCACGGTGGAGCCTCTGACCTCACTCTCCATCCTTCACCTTGCAGCAGACAGTAGCTCAGCTACTCACGCCTGCCAAATAAAAAAGGCACAGCTCTGCCAAACTGTTTGGTAAAATGCAGGAATATACAGAGCAATTTATTATCAGGCTGACATCATGGGAAGCCCTTGAAACTCCACTCCATACTTTATAATGTGTGAGACATTTCCTCTCTTTGCTCCTCATAAATTGCAGGAGTTCAAAGGTTGCGCAATGTGTGTGGGGCAGAGAAATCCAAAGCCAACAGTGCCATCTAGTGGTGGAAAGGCAAAATGCTGCGCACGGATAGCCCAGCAAAGGGAACATGAATCTGAGAACTCACAGTACTTCAAGGGAGCCAAGGTGTGCATTCAAACATGTAACTGACAGGGTTACTCCCCAAAAGGGTGAAGAATTTGGAGAAGGCGGGAGAAGTGAACCATCTTGGACAACATAGCTGATTTAGAAAAATTCTCCAATGCAGCTCACTTTCCAGTTTAGCTATGTTATCCTAGATTGTTCACTTCTCCAGACTCATCCCCCTTTTGTTACTAGCCCTGTGAGTGTCCAACGATTCACCTTGAGAAAGGGAGGCTGTGCCTCACCTGCTCAAACATCTGAATGCACACCTTAGCTGCAGAAGGTAATGTTGTCCCCCCCAAAATTACTAATTCCTTATTTAACAATTTAGATTAAAACATTTTATAGGTAGGAGGCCACAATTTCCCAATTCAAGTGTTTAAAACCCACAGCCGATTGTTCAGGAGAAGCTCCTTTCAGATTCAGAGGAGCTCAGGTTCAAAGGAACTAAGTTTGGTACTGGGTTCAGCCCAAACCTGAGCTCATTCCTACTGGTGACATCATCAGGTCAATAAGAAGGCTGCAGGAGAAAAGGTATGTATAAGGTTTATGGTTAGTAAAAACCACCCGGGGGGCTTCGGGAGGATGGCATGTGACAGAAGATGATCAAAAAGCTGGAATTTCACTAGAACCCTTGCAGTATAGGAAGGGCACTGCAAGTGTATAGTTGGGCTTTACCTTAGCATTGCACTTGATTTACATCCCATCAGTTAGGCCCTTAATTACAAATTTGTTGGTATATAATAAAAGGAGATTCTTAATTTAGACTGTAATGCACATTTCAAGATTTAAATAAAGAAAAAGCAAAGCAAAAAACCCTGAAACAGATAGTTCCATGTACTAGAATAGCCATGGATGAGCTGAGAGAAGGTAGGGAAATACCTGGCCATCCGCACATGATGGTGACCACAGCACATATTTGGTATTTTGTCATCCTCCGTTCTTCTAAAGCAGCGGCGGCCAAACTCCGGCCCTCCAGCTGTGGTGGAACTACAAATCCCATGAGGCATTGCAAGATTCTCACAGCCACAGGCATGACTCTCGGAGAGAGGTGCATCATGGGATTTGTAGTTTCACCACAGCTGGAGGCCCAGAGTTTGGCCACCCCTGTTCTAAGGGAATAATCACATAGAGGACTTCATTTTGGATTTCTCCCCGTGCAATGACTCCCATTATGGTTATTGCGTCCACGGGCACCAGAAACAATCACAGATTATCGCTATTATCTGGCTGTAAATGAACAGTCTAAGTCTATATCCGCACTACGAACCAGAAATTTAAAATATACAGTGGTCCGCTGGGGAACTGAAGAACTAGCTAAAATAAAGAATGAATACCCCAGCCATTGGAGGTGTATATAGCTGAAAGTCTTACTAATACCATTACTGCATTTTCTTTATGTTCTGGAGCCGATTTTATCCGAGGAGTTGTGTTCATTGAAATTAATTCTACAAGAGGGTTTTTTTTTTATTTATCATATAAAATGTATTTTGAAACATGAAATACGTGTTAAATATTTATAAAATCATCTAAAATTACTATTAAAAAAAACATACAAATGCAGCTGTCACATATGCAGAGCACCAGCACCCTGTAAGGAGGATCATACTCGGACCTCCATGGTTTAGCCTAGCCTTGTGTTATCATTAATAATGGTTGTGTGTGGGAGGGGCTGCAACATTTAAACAAAAAACTGTAATGGGAGGAAGATGTAGGCTGTCACTGCTGACCTCCTGAAAATGCTAGTTGCCTGGCAGGCTCTGGCTTTCACTGTTAAATCAATTAATAAGAGCGCACTAGGCAAAAATAATAAAACAATATCAGCTGCAATGCTAATGCGTATATCACTCTTAATGATTGAAAGCCGGTGCAATGCGCTAAATATCAAGCAGTGTTATTTCAATTTGCTCATATAAAGTGTCACTATGCGTGTATCCTAAAATGTCTTACATAGCAAGCAATTATCAACATAGTGACACATACAGCATATCTATATATATCTATAGATATATATTAATAATTGTTTCCTGTAGTGACATATACAGTATATATATATATATATAGATAGATAGATATATATTAATAATTGCTTGCTAAGTAAGACATTTTAGGATAAAAGTATAGTGACACTTTCTATGAGCAAATTGAAATAACTCACTTTCACTAACCTTGAACAAGCATGGATGATAGAAAGTGCGAGTGCGTTTAGAAGAGAGGAACTTCTGATCACCGGTCACTACTACCAGAAGAGGCAACATGGGGGATTATGTGACAGCAGGAGAATGTTTTTGGGTGGTACACAGTGTTTTGTCTTCACTACAGCATCACCTATGGTAGTGAAAGTGTAGAGTTGTAGTCATAAGGCATTTCATTTATATGCCTCCGTCCTGGTAGATCTAAAACTTTGTGGGTAAAGGTCTGCGATAAAAAAAGGAAACCCCTTTAGTAGAGTTCAGAAGCATACAAGTTAAAGTGATGGAAGGGTCAATTTGTTTGGACCCCTAAAGCGATTACTGGTTCTCCTGATGACCTCCACACATCACTGATAGGCAGGAAAGACCAGAGGGAGCTGCGGGTGACCCAGGAGCTTGACATTCTTGGAAGTGTTGTCTCCCAGTGGTCTTCATTCGATGGTATTTTGAATAGTAGTTCAAAAATAAAGCTCAAAAATAGGAAATAAAGGGTTATGGGCTGCCCAGTTAAATCTCAGATTTCCTATTGAAATTGTGTTGCGGAATTTTGCAATGAGCAGTTAGTGGAAGAAAACCCGCAAACATCTTGCAAAAGAAGGGATTATGCACGGAGAAGTGGTCACAAATGTTAGAGCTTGGTGGACAGTTATACAAAATGTCTGCAAGAAGTCATTTGTGCTAAAGGGGGAGGTACCAGCTTCTAAAGCCAAGGGTGTACTTACTTTCTGCACACTACACCGTTACATCTATTGATATTTTCTGTTGAATAAATGACTGAAAGGGAGAATTGTCCTTGTGTTTTTATTCAGGTCCATCACCTTTATCTGTAGGCACTGCTTGACTGAAGAGCTTATGTTTGACTGTTCAAGTATGTTGAAAAAGCCAACAATTTCCATGGCGCAACATCATTTTTTTCTACATTTGAGGTATGCTGAAAAAGGGATCAGAGTCTGCTCGCAGCTGTAAACACATCACCCAGAGGCACAAGTCTACAGTGACAGAAGGTCCCCGTTCTGTAGAAGGTTGTCCGAAGCTTGCAGAATTCTCAGTTCTTCCAGTCGTAACGCTTCCACTAAGGCAAGATGTGGATTGGTTGCGTGTTCACTTTTCCAAGCAGTGATCTGGAAAAAAAAGAAAAAAAGTTTAATACCTATATTACCTGCACTACCTGTATTTTAAAAGTGTTGTCACCTGGAGAAGAAGTGGGTGGAAATATTGGTTTATAATCACTGTTTTGCATCTTATTCCTAATAAGCCACACACCCCCACCCCCTTGTTTTGTTTGATATCTGTAATGAACCTGAGGTATCAGTAAACGTGTCAGGTTTTCTAGCACGACGGCCATTCTGCTAGGTCATCAAGTAGACCTCTTGGCCTCAAGATCCGCATCCGGCACTCGTGCATCCCCTGCCTGAACCTACTGTTCTCAACCCCAGTGGTCATCAGACGGGGTTGCAAGGGAGGTCCTCCTCGTCACTTCGGGCTCACACCACGATCCTAACAAAACGGATGACAGGAGCTCTAAAGCTTCCCCAGGAAAAAGTGTTGGCTGGACATGCATTTGATTTTAAAGAATAAGTGCACTTTTAGACTCCCCTCCTGGGAGAAGGGGGCTGTATCTATGGGGCTGTAATGTGGAGGTGCGGCCAGCAGAGGGAGCATTTCAGCGCTGGACTATAAACAATAGAGGAACTGTGCCAGTTGGATCTCGGTAACTACAGATCTGCGGAGCGGTAGGGTGGGATCGATTAGGAAGGGGACACAAAGGTAAGTGCACTTTTCCTTTAAGTTCTATCCAAAACTACAAAAAAAAGTTCTGCCTTTAGATATATTTTTTGGCATGAGATGAAGCTGAACACTGGGGAACATGTAAAACTACCTAACAATAATTGTAGTGTGTTCTTTTAACAGGGTTTATAAGCTGATTGCATTGCTGGAAGATCATCAGTTATATTCCTGTACTTGCCGAGTCTAAAGCCCATATATACTTTTGTGAGTGATGCTGTATATGTGTCATTTTCATGATACACATTGCTTGCCTTTTTTTATGGACATTTTAGAGTGCCTGAGCCCTATAAATTTAAAATTCCTGCACAGGAAACTCAATCTGACACAGGGGTCAGATTGTCTTGTACAGGCTGTAGAACAGCTGAACCCCCCCCCCTTGAATCATTGTAACAAGGTAATTGCACGCCAGCTCTGTGTCTCCAGGTCACTCTGCATTTTCCAGGGGCAGTGCTACTATGAATATTAGTGAATTGGGGGGAAAGAGCTCAGAGCTTATTACCACAGTACTGCCAGCCCTATAGATTCACTTAATGTCATGCTAATGGGATAAAGGGTTAACATTATGGGCCCCAGTTTCAGGAACAAGCCAAACGCCTCTTAAATGTGATTCCAGCATCTGCCTGACTCACCTTCTGCAGAGCCCGTGAAGTCTGTTCTAGTAAGTGCTGGCAAATCGTTCTCACAAGTTCCATACAGCTCCGCTCGTTGGACTCAGACACAAAGCTTCCCAGAAGAACTTTTTTCCAGTATGTGCTAAAAACAACACAGAGATTATATTCTCGAAAAACTTGCACTGGTAAGGAAAAATAAGAGGATTTTATAGTTCATTTTATTATATTTATTGCTAAACGCATCCCTTCATTCTTCATTCTGCAATGGATTGCAGAAAATACGATCAGTTTTAAATGTAAATGTTCTAAAAACAATGATCAGCTAATTGATCTGAATTGAAATCGGTTCTCCCAAAACTTGCAGATATCTGCTCGATTGATCAGAAGCAATCAACGAAATTCCACCGCAGTCATAGAGGCAATCACCTGGGAGATTAGTAATCCGATCTAATGGTTTGTAATTATTATCAGTTTGATCATTTTAGTCACTTTAAATGACTGATTGTATGATCACAGCGATTCATATGTGACCACACTTAAGGCCATGCTGCTTATTCATTTCAGCAGGCTAACTATAGGCTAGCCATGGACCTCTAAAGGGATGTCAGGGATACTTTCTTCAATATAAACCACATACACAGACAGCTCTGTTTCTGCAGATGGGTTTATCAGGCAGCAGCATGTAGGGATGCACCGGCTTTATCAGGCAGCAGCATGTAGGGATGCACCAAAATCTTGGCCGAAAATTCAGTGTATGCCTCTCTCCAACCCAGTAGGCGCTGGTCTGTGTGCCTTCTAATGCAGCACCGGCGCCCAGCTGGGAAGAGTAAACCAGGAGGCCGAGTGGTGGTGACAGAATTCAGGATGCCGAGCGGCGCGGGTGGTGACAGCTGTCATCTTACAGGAGGCGGAGCTCTCCTCCCGCACCTTCCGGCTCCGCCTACTATGTGAGGCTGGAGAGCGGTGATTGGAGGAGAGCGCTGTGATCTGCACTCACCGTAAGATTAAAAAAATTGTAAAATTTAAAAAAACAGAGGAAAGAGTGGGGAAAGTGTGGGCTCTATCACAGGGCTGTTCCAGGCAGATTATCTGACAGTAAACCTTTAATGATGATTATCATTTTTCGATGCACCTTCAATCCTGACTTGATTCTGATTCCCAAACATTAAAAAAAAAAAGATATAAAAAAAAAACTTATAACACTAAAGGGAGTTACTTACAACTCTTCAGTACTCAGACAAAGCAGTTTGAGAGCTGTTAGTAGCTTCCAGGAGGGTCCGTCATGTCCAAATGTGGCTGAAGCTTTTAGCCATAATGTGCTAGTATGTACAGTATATTAGCATATTATGGATGACTTGCCTACCAAACCGATCCCCTCCAGCGCTGCACTTCTCCCTCTCTGGTGTTTCTATGCTCGCCCTGGTCTTCAGTGTTCGCCCGCTTGATTGGTTGGGCCCCGATGATGTAACTCCTGAGCATGCATGGCTCAGCGTACAGAAAAAAGCTTTTATGGCAGAATAGACTCACACAGTCTATTCTGCCATAGAAAACCTGCCACATGGCAAAAGTAGCCCCCCTCCAGTAGGAAGGACGGTGTCAGCACCAATTCAGAGAGGATTTGAAGATCTACAGCCGAGTGATACACAAATAAGATACATTTTTTGTAATAGTTAAAGTGACACTAAACTTCGGAGTTACATCTGCTGAGTTAAATGCATTCAGGTAACTTAACTATTAACAAAAATGTATCTTATTTGTGTATCACTCGGCTGTAGATCCTCAAATCATCTCTGAATTGGTGCTGACACTGTCCTTCCTTCTGGAGGGGGGGCTACTTTTCTTGCCCACGGTCCCTGTGTGTGTTGTAAAGTAGCCACCGCTCCAAGCTCACTCCTGTGATGGACTACAATCTCACATTTAGTTTACTAATTTGTATTGAGATTGTAGTCCATCACAGGAGTGATTTAAAGAGGAACTTTACTTTAAAATAACAACAAACACATCTTTAGAAATGTTTAGTGATGACAATCTACAACCAGATAACTTCTAGATAATTGACGGCTTTGTATTCTTTGCATTCCTTATTTCTCTTTTCTTTCCCATTCTTCTGTCAGTGGCCATTTTTGCTAAGGGCAGACTACTCTCCCTTTACTTCCAGGAACTCTGGCACGTGTGACTAGGACATGTAACCATGCACATCATCTCAGAGGAGGAAAATGTGAGATTACAGATGATATTTCCCAGCAATGCTCTGCTGATGTAACCTTCCCGGGATGCAACGCTTGGGCACATTACATCATTTGTGCCAGAACTGGACCAAGAAGTAGATGAACTCTATTTAACCAATGAATGTAAGATGATTATAAATCAGCATGCAGAACTGTATGCTGATTTGATTTTTAGTAAAAGGAGGTACAGGTCCACTTTAACTCCTGAGTTTAGTGTCACTTCAACTTTACTCGCTTCATGTCAATGCCACAGGCAAAACACTCAACTTACTCTAAAAAGCCATTTTCCTTCAGCAGTGACCATTTCTTCTGTAACTGTTTGTCTGCACAAGACAAATGCTGGAGGACGACATCTACAAATAGTGGAAAACAATATCAGACAAGTTAGAAAAATAGGCAAAAGAAAATGTCTACATCTGCAGCAACCAATCAGATTCCAGCTGTCAGCATGTGGTCTCTGCAGCACCTTGTTAGCATCACACCTTTGGCAGGACTGAATTGCCTCCATCAAGGACTACTGTTGGGTTTTGTATATAGTCAATTTATCTACTGCTAAATATGCTCCAATATGGCTCTCAAAAATTAGAGTTAGGACCACAATACACAGCGGAGCCTTGACGGGGCAGTGCGGCTTCCACATCTTTTAGATTGTAAGCCCTCACGGGCAGGGCCCTCCTTACCATCTTGTCTTGAATTGTATTGTGATTGTAATGTCTTCCTTATATTGTAAAGAGCTGTGCAAACTATTGGCGCTATATAAATCATGTATAATAATAATATTTAGCAAAAGTTGCGCAACTAAAACCTCTGTTTTTAATGCATACTGTTAGACAGTGTCATTTGTTTTGTTGCAGGCCGGTGTGCTGGGAATTTTTGTGCTTTGTATTAGTGATCAGACCCCTGTCAGGTTTTTGTTGCTGTCTGTGTCCCCGTTGGAGATTCACCTCTCTATTTGTCCCGGTGACCATTATCACTGAAATAAAAAGAAAGAAAATCCCACATTTTGGGTTGTCACCAGAACAGAAATGTCAATCCAATGGGGACACTCGTTCTGGTGACCCTGTTACCACCAGGGATTTCCTCTCAATTCCTATTGTGGCTATCGGACAGGAAGTGAAGGGAAATATGGAAATCTCCCCAATAGAACACAGGAGGCAAAAAGCTGTGAGGGGTTATAACCCTCTCTTACTCTATCCAAAACTAGAAAAAAGTTTTGGCTTTGTTCTACTTTAATCTGGAATTCAGGAGCCAGCACATTGACAACAACTAGATGAAACCTCAAAAGTTAGGGGCCGGCTGCAATTTTTGAGGAGCACTGGATGGCTCCTGGGATTTGTCCAGCCGTGCCTTACCCTCTAAAAGACTTATACGGATGTCCATATACTCATTAATGCATCTGATACAAGACAGGAGGCACACAAAGCTTCCACATATCTATTGTGGGTATGCACCAACCAGAAATGGTTTAGTGGACAGCCACAAAATTATCTAGCCATCCCTCCTCGTGGAGATACCGGTCTCCTGCCACCATCCCACACCCTGGGAATCTTAAGCTTTGCCTTACAGTACAACTAAAATACAATATATTCTTCCTGGAAATTATAAGGAGGCACAAGGTGACAACTTACAGATGGGGCACAGAAGCAGGCACAGTCGGCAAACCCGTGCACTATTCAGAGCAAACCATAAGGCAGATCTAGAAACAGAATGGAAAGCTCTAACCTGCGCTGGGAAAGGACAGCAGCATAGAAGGTGTTTGGCTACTGCAGGCCACAATGCCACTTTCCTGAATTTTTTTATTAACCAGCTACACTATGTGTTGAAGATTCAGTCTTAGTGCACACTTACCTCTAGTAACGTAGACACTCTGATGAGGATTATTAGCTGCCACAAATCCATATTCTAGCAGAAGGCGCTGGTTATCATGGTGCCCATAGCAAATGAACACTTGGTCATACTTCCTATACCGCACTTTAGTCCTGATCTCATAACGCCGGATCTCCTCATTGAATGCAGCTTCCACCTGAATGAAACAAGTTATAGAAAGTAAATCAGGGACTTTTGCCGGTCACAACAGCTCCACATTCTGGTATGACTGGAAGGTTTGGAAGGCTGTTTGCCCTCCTTCCCCCAGTGACATCGTCAGGCCTCATCCCATTTATGATGCAAAATCTAAAAACACCCCACACACTGGTGTATACAATAAATGTGCAAAGAATAAGAAAAAAGACCCTAAAAGTGATCTGTGGTAGAGCAGCGGTTTGCAGGCATTTTTTTTCATCCCATCCCACGATTAAAATATCTCGCAGCAACCACATGCAACCACTACAATGGGCCGCATGCCAAACGTGACATGCCGAGTTAAAATTGCAGCAGTAATGTGTACTCTCCTGTGTGGCTACATTGTCATTGTGTAGGTGGGTGGTTGAGGGTCAGTAAAAACAGAGCTCTGCCTCCTGTTTGCAATGCCCTTTATGTTGCCCGTACAAAATAGCCCTTTGGGTGCCGGCCAAATGGAGCTCATCCATGCTCCACACATCTACAAGGAAAGAGTCTGGCCACACTTCCAATGACATCAGCTTAAATCAAATTATTCTTCCAGCCAAAGGATACAGAAAGCTTATTCAGCCTGTCCCTACTTTAGCGCATTTCACCCAGACAGGGCTTACTCATAGAGGTCTGAGTGGGTGAAATGCGTTAAAGTGTGGAGGGTCTGGGTGGACTTTTTGCATCCTATGTTCGGAACAATAAAAATGATTTTAGCGATGTCATTGGAAGTGCGCCCGTACGGTTCGTTTTTATAATGAGCCAAGCTCAGTAATCCATAGCAACCAATCAGATTGCAGTTCACTGACTATAGATGATTTCTGGGTGGTCACAGTGCTTTTATATATATCATGACTCTTTGCACTTCCTTACTGAATTACAGAAGGTGTAGAAGGGTCTTGTCCATTTCTGAATTGAGTGACTCCCAAACAGAAAACAGAGCCGCACTCCAGTCTGCTGGCCTTAGAACTGTTTGGATAGTCTATGTTTTCCTGTTCAGATGCTTTGCACTGTGCCCAGCAAAAGAGTCAATCAACATAAAACTTAGCGGATGGGGTGGGGCACTCCAGTCCCCAAATTGAAACAGACATGGCTTGAGTAGCCTGCAAAAACCAGCCTAGACCTATCCTTAAAGTGTGACAGATGCCTATTAGGTAAACCAGAACCAATAGCTGGTATACAAGCCGTGGATCCTACCTGCACACCAGGGCTGTGATTCAGCAGATCTAGTAATGGTGCCAAGGCATACACATCCTGTTCAGAAGAAAAGTAGTCTCTTTGTGTGTGTTTCATATACACTGTACGTGTGTTTACTGTGCACCAGGCCCAACGCATGGCATCATAGCTCAGAATGTTTTCTGCATCCTCCTGAAACAGCGACTGCAACGATCTGAAGAAGGACACATTGGAAAAGTAGAATTCCTGAACAACGGCCCTCTGCTGCTCAGCTCTCTGTCTGAGGGGTTCTGGAAGGAGCATCACCATTTCTGGTTCCCAACATAAAGGGCAGCTATAACTGCTGGGTAATACATCTAGATATGGTTTCCACAGTGAGCGATCACCAAAGTATCTCTCCGCGACTAAGAAAGTACACAATGCCACCAAGGGGGAGATAGGGGGGCGCCACCTAAAGATAATGAGAAAATATTAATTAAACATGTAATTAATGCAGCTTAAAATGAACTTCCACTTTCGAGTAAAGCCACCAATAGTCCCAGAAGATATGTCAATGGTGGGCATGGGGAGAGATAAGCAACTCTTGCCTTTGAAAAACATGAGATCATATTCTGACCACGCCACCTATCTAACAGGGCTATTCACTAAAGGGTGAAGAGTTTGGAGAAGGCAGGAGAAGTGAACAATCTAGGACAACAAAGCTGAACTGGAAAGTGAGCTGAATTGGAGAATGTTTCCAAATCAGTTATGTTGTCCTAGATTGTTCACTTCTCCTGCCTTCTCCAAACCCTTCACCCTTTTGTGGATAACCCTGTAAGTCTCAAATTCAAATGGCTAAATCTTTATTAAACAATTTGATTAATCCATTCAGTTCATATGAACAACTATCAGATCACATGGGTTGACGAGTGTTACAATAACCACCCAAATGTTATTCAAGGTGCCTGGAATTGGGCAAAAAAGACCAGTTATGGACCTAAAAGAGTTAACAGTTCATCTCCAGGTAACTTTAGTCAGCAGGAGCAAATCAACAGAGGACTCATCCCACCAATGTGACCATTTGCATTTCTATGTTTTTCTTATAGATGTCCTCTACTGTCTTCAGAAAATGCTCAAAGGGATATAGCCAATTTTTTTGAATAAGCTGTAGATATGTTTTCCACCTTTTATTCTCTATGGCGAGGGCACCATGTGACTTCAGTTCCCTTCCACCATTTCTCTCCCTTCTCCATTATAGCATGGTCACTATTCTGTCAGTAACGTGCACACCTTATATCAAGACCTTGAAAGAC